GGGGGGCATCGGCCCACCCCTAACCCTGGGAAAATCGGACCCTGTGGCCTCATCAAACCCTATTCTACTGTTACACAGGCCTCTTCGCGCATGGTTCCGTGCGCCACGAGGCGCGCGGCGGTGGTCGGTGAGCAATCCACGAGCGTTCGCATGTCGGAGAGCCCAACAACGCCGCGGGCCCCTCTAACAAGCATATTTTTGCAGGTTTACCCCGACTGGCCCCGCGTAGCCGTCTGCAGGTGAGGCGCGACACGCGGCCGTCGCGGGCGCAGGCGGGCGCTACCGGAGCGCGGCATGCGCCGCACCACTCGCTCTGCTCGCCGCCGCGCCGCGTCGCGGGCCCCCGGGGCGTGCATATATCCCGCCTATGCAATCAGAATGCGATCCAGGCTTCCATGTGGAAGTCATCTGGGGTCCCTATGTAACCGCATGTCATGTATTGTCCGAACACATTGCCTTCAACATTGCCTTGAGAGCGTCCCCATCGTCCCTCTTCCCCCTGGCCGCTCAGCCCTGCTGATCCCTGTCAATACTCAAATCTATTTCCTCAGGTGGTGCGCAAGGTGGCCGCCGTCGAGGTGCCCATCATGCAGATGTCTGACGCGGAGCGCGCCCAGGTGCGCCAGTCCGGCGATCCGCGACGCTCCACTATACACGGCAGGGGGCCCAGGACCGCGGTGCCCGGGCGTCCCCGGGCTTGCCTGGTGCCGCCTGCGGAGGGGAATGCCGACGACGAGAGCGTTGGCGTCCGCCATGGCTAATGGATATGCGCACCACCTCGTCTTTTTGCTATCTTATCAGCTGGCCAAGGAGCTGGGATACCTCCAGATCGGTCGGGAGGTGCCCTCCACCTACTCCCTCACCGACATCGTCAAGTCGATGCCCGAGGAGTGAGCGGCGGCGGCAGCAGTGGCGATATGGGGGCTGCGGGGCCGGATGTTCACAGCGTGCGATTTGGGGGTTAGCAGCGCCACGGGCAGTTAGCTGACATGGATGGAGCGGTGCTGCTGGCGGGCGGCGACAGCATGGTGGCCAGAGCTGTGGACATGGGAGGCCTGTCGGCATCAGAAGCATCCGGAATGAAGGCAGTGCAGCTTTCTCAGCGGGCCCTGGGGGCGAGGGTTCACCATCGCGGCGCCTGCTGGCAGCTGCCGAGCTTGCGGAGAGCCCGGCCGTCTTCTCCCAGCACGCAGCCCAGGCGCAGGGGCTCCATGACCCGGCGCGCACGCCGCTTTCCCGCTGCCGACGCGCCACTGACCGTTCTGCAACCGTCGCACCGGCGCGCTCTGCCCTTCCGCCTCCCCGCAGCGTGTTCAAGCTCAACCCCCTGCGCGCGTGGGGCGCGGTGGTGACGTCCATCGTGGCCATGGCGGCCTCGCTGTACGCCATCAGCGTCAGCCCATGGTACCTCCTGCCCCTCGCCTGGTTCGTCGCCGGCACCGCTTTCACCGGGGTGAGCGCGGCTTGTGACTTGTGGCTCGCGGTCTGCGGCATGTGGGGGCGACAGCAACGAAAGGAGACAGGAGAGGGATACGGCACGGCTTGCAGCTTGCAAGGGCGACGGGAAATGGGAGGACGAGAGACGGCAGACGGGAGAGGGTTGCAGCGCGGCATGATGTGGCGCATGCGAGGCAGACGGCGGGTCGGGCAGGAGAGAGGAGGTCGGAGGGGCAAGGCGACAGCGGGGACGGCGAGGGAGGGAGTCGAAAGAGACAGAGAAGGGGAGGAGAAGGACAGCAGAGTCATGCAAAGGGGGGCGCTCGCAGGCACCTGGGCTCCCGCAGGGACCTGGGCTCGTGATTTGGGCGCAACAGCCCCAGGCGAAGCCAGCCCAGGTTCACCGCACACCTGGTACCACGGGAGTTGGTAGACAGCGGCGCCCCTATCACGGCCCGCTGAACGCGCTTCGAACCGAATCCGCTGGCCGCAGTTCTTTGTGATCGGCCACGACTGCGGGCACCGCTCTTTCAGCAGCAACAAGCTCCTGGAGGACATTGTGGGCACGCTGGCGTTTATGCCGCTCATCTTCCCCTTTGAGCCCTGGAGGATCAAGCACAACCAGCACCACGCGCAGACCAACAAGTGAGTGAAGGGGGGCGGAGGCAGCGCCTGCTTCGGCTGGCTTGGCCGAGGCCGGCTTTGCGCAAAGAGCATGCACGGCATGGATCCATCGGCAGGCACGGGAGAGTGCAGCTGGCGGGCCGCTGCGAACACCGGGCTTGGCTGTGTGCGAGCCACCGCTCGGGGCGCCCGCGGCTTGAGGAAAAGGCGGGGGCGGCGGGCAGAGTCGCTGGCACCCGCCGCGGCATGCAGCGCGGCGCACGCGTTTCAGGCCGGGGTCCAGTTATTAGAAGCAAGCCCGCCAGAATTGTCAGTCGACGCTGCCCAATGGGCCCTGCCCGCCACCGCGCCACGTGGCGCGGAGCATGGAGAGGAGGCCTACTTCATCAGGGATCGCCATCGCCTCTGGCCGACGCAGTGGACCCAGCCCAGCCGACCACTCCGCCCAATTTCTACATCCGCACTTCCAGCCACCTGCCCGCATCCCAAACTGGAATTTACAGCCCATGCCATACTTTTGTGTTGCCACTGTGCCCACTTCACAGGCTGGTTGAGGACACGGCGTGGCACCCCGTGATGCCCGAGGAGGTTGAGAAGTGGACCCCCACCCAGAAGAGCATCTTCAAGCTCTTCCTGGGAACACCTCTCAAGCTCTGGGCATCGGTCGGCCACTGGTGCGCGCAGCACAACGCGGCGCCGCCCTCCGCCTTTCCCGCCATGCATGGGATGGGACGCAAAGGGAGGTTTGATTGCAGCTGCATGCATGTTTTGTTCGGACAGCGCCTGCCGCTGGCGCCGGCGCGCCGGCATTCCAGATCGAGCTGCCCGGCGCAGGCAGCTGACTGAATTCGAATTTGAATCCACGACAGGTGGATCTGGCACTTTGACCTGTCGAAGTACACCGAGAAGCAGAAGCCGCGGGTGCTGGTGTCGCTGGCGGCGGTGGCGGCGTTTGCGCTCATCGCGCTGCCGACGCTCACCTACTTCACCGGGGTCGCAGGGCTGGTCAAGTACTGGTGCGCACCTTTGGCCGCGCCCGCACGCGCCTTTCTCGCGCGCCTGCGCTCCCTTTCTTTCGCGCTCACATTTGCTCGTGCGGTGCTCGCACCCCAGCCCCTCCAGCGGCGGCGCGCTGCGCGCCGACGCACTGCGCCTCCCTCGGCCCTGTGGCCCCGCCCACCCTCTCCCCTCGCGACCCTTCGCGACCCATCGCCGCTGCTCCTCGTGCGCCAGGCTGATGCCGTGGCTGGGTTACCACTTCTGGATGTCGACCTTCACTGTGGTGCACCACACAGCCCCACACATCCCATTCAAGCCCGCGGAGGAGTGGAACGCGGCGCAGGTGCGGCGGCGGCGGCTCCGGCGGCGGAGCTGTGGGCTGGTGGCGCCGAGTTGCTGCCTGCGGGGGGTCAACAAATGTGCGTGCGGATGGGTGTGGAGTGGAGTGGGATGTAGATCATATCAGTCAACCCCTAATCTTGGACACACGTCCCGCCCCGACAGGCCCAGCTGAGCGGCACTGTTGACTGCGAGTACCCCGGGTGGGTGGAGTTCCTGTGCCACGACATCAGCGTGCACGTGCCCCACCACGTCAGCAGCAAGATCCCCTGGTGAGGCCTGATGGCCCCCCCGGCCCTGCAG